ATTGCCCAAATATACCGATGTGTGTGTATATATATATATATATATATATATATATATATATATACAAATTTCATTAAAGACAATTGACAAGGTACTCTGATTAAACTTTTTATTTAATTTTTCCTGTGTTCATACAAGTGTTTTCTTTTATGGTAATGGTGTGTAAAAACTGTTCAAAATTTCTGCATATCAGATCACTTTCAGCTATTCTTTTAGCCATTATCAAGGTTGATTTTATTTTTTTATTTTTAACTGAATGAGTGGGTTTTTCTATGTCTGAAATTATAGGAATATTTTATTTTCTAAATATGGTCAGTACATTTTGGCTATGTTCATATTTTATGCTATTGAGTATTGGCTTTTCCTTTTTTATTATTAGGGCTTCCATTATTTTTAATCTTTTTTTTACATGTGGATGAGGCTATTATACTTATATTTTCTACTATTATGTATTATGTTGTGGATGGAGTTTGGTAGGTTTTTGGATAGTTTTTATGCACTTTGTGTCCAGAAAAGAAAACACTTGTATGAACACAAGAAAAATTAAATAAAAACCTTAATCACAGTACCTTGTCAGTCATCTTTAATGAAGCTTGTATAAAAGAGGGATTGCTGCCCAAATACTTACTTATATATATATATATATATATATATATATATATATATATATATATATATATATATAATAATTTTAACTTTTATAATTATAATGTAGATATAAGATTCTTTATACTGTAGCTTTGAATTCATTCTTGGCTTTTATTTCTTTAGTTTGTAGTGATGTTTGTGAAATGGAAAATATAAAAATAAACATAAAAATATTCAGTGCAAATGTCAAAATGCACTTATTAGTCATTTTCCATTCATATGAAAACCATTATGTTTTAGCTTACATTGTTAAGAATTAAAAAGCAGCCAGCTGCTTGTCTTACCTGTTTATTCCAATATATCTTTGTAAAAAAGAGAATTTCTCCATCATTGGCAACCAATCATTAAAGTAACTGCATTCATTATTAAGTAGCATGCTTCCAATATTTGATATTAATTGCTAATATAACTAATATTATTCATGCACATTATCCTATTACCATTTTAACATTTTCTGAATTTCTTTGCAGTCATTGGCTTTGAATACCTCTGGGTATAAATGTAAAATAGGTCCCTCATTTTCTTATCTGAAATTTGGATAAAATCTTAAGTTTGTAACTAAAATCTTTAATTTTTTTTTTTTTTAATTATCACAAAATTTTCAATAAATTAATTACAATTAATACTGGTGCATTTTATGCAATTCTTGATGTTTATGAATTTTAAGAATATTTCAAATATAAAACTTGAGCCTTTTATTTTCATAAAATGTGGAACAGTTATCTGCCTTAGTTTTCATGGGGTTAAAATTCTGAACAAAGAATTCTAAATTAAAACTCAGGACATTTCCTTTATTAAATTTAATATTTGCATGCCATAAAAAGTAAAAATTTAAAGAAATTGTTGATTATTATAAGTGTGTGCTACATCTTGACAGTCTTGGTGTAGCATGTTTTTATCTTCATAGTTGTAATCTTTTATTTCTGTACTGTCAATCTTTTTACAATGCCAATGTGTTAAATCATAGTATTTATGGCAGGCTATACAATACAGTTATTTGGGAAAAGTAGATTGTCTAAAAACTGTTCGGAGGGGAGGGTACAAAACAAAATGGCAGATGATGAAATATATTGATTGTTGGCATGTAGACAATTTTGTTAGCTTGGGGATGTATGTAGGTTGGATCAGCTTTGGATTTGCCCGAGATAGATAACAGGAAAGTAAAGAAGCCAAAACTTCCCAGGAGCTAAGCAAAAACAAATGAACTGGTTGAGATGACTCTCTTTGGTGGTAGGTTTAACACATTGTTAAAGATAGGGAAAATGGCCAGAACTGATAGCAAGTAATAGTACCAGTGAGTGTTGTAAGTGGTCTAAATTATGAGATTGCATCATTTATTAAACTGAGTTTCTGGTAAGAAATTGAACTGTTATTCTTAGGGTACAAATATTCAGATGCTGGTGCTATAAGCAACACATTCTTCCTACAATAAACCATAATTAAAATGTTTAACATGGGAAAAAATAGTTATATTTTTTATGTTAATGAAAAAAATACTTTAGATATCATTAAGACACTGTAAAAATAATTTGTTATAATTCTATTATTATTATTGTTGTTTGTGTATGTGTGTTTTTATTATTACTCCAAATTTAGTGTACCTTGCACTTTTATCAAATAAACTAGATAAATGATTTTATATTCTAACCAAGTTATTGCATTGATTTATTTTGATGTGATAAGAATATCATGTTGCAGTTCTTTCTACAATTAATACAATGACATATGAAGAATATAGTAAATACAAACATTTATTTCATTCTAAATGAAGGCAAGATATAAATATGCAAAATTGGAATTATTCTAAATTTCATACCAAGTAGAAATAAATTATGGTTGCCAGTGACTAAAATTTGGTTGAGTTATATTACAATTTTTCTGGCTTTTTTTATCAGCATATATTCAATATGTTGTAATTTAAGATCAACAATGAGAATTACTTTGTACTAGATCACCCATAAACCTGTTCGATTTCTTTTAAAAGCAGTTCATGATACAAAATGATGAACTAATAAATTAACTAATCAAATTTATTATTAATTACACATATTTTTGGTATTTAAAGATGGTAAGAGAACATTTATTATTCTATTGGGCTTCATAGTTAACACATTGCATGAAAATTTGGGCAATTAGCTTAAAACTGATCTAGTCTTTTTCAAAATAATATGAATATTCTTTTTATTAATTATTAGTTAATAAGTAAAAATTGTTGTGGTCCCAAAATGAATGAAAAGCACCAAAAATACCTTATTGCAAATATATTCTGATTTAAATTATGAAGATAAATTATTTTACAATATCAATAGAAAAGTTTTACTTTTTTACATTAAAAGAGATATTTTTTTCCATAAAATGTACTTTGAATACAAAATTAATAATTGATACTAAAGATGGTAAAATAATGTTTATTGTTCCACTGGACTTCATAGTTAACACATTGCATGAAAATCCAGAGCTTAAAACAGGTGTAGTCTTTTTCAAAATATTATAAAGCATACTTTTATTATACATCCTTGTTTATTCATCGCATTTATTTCAAAATACATAATGGCAGCAAACTAGCGTTGCATCTATTTATTTATTTACCATCAAGTCAGATGTAGCATTTTCACCTTTCAAGTAGTTGTTTATAAAAAAAAGTTCTAATGTAGTTTAGTCAATTGTATAAATAAATATATGTTGTTTTATGCATTTTAAGTTTATTTAATAATGTTGTTATAATGTATTATGAATATTTATTATTTTTTGCACACATAATTAAATATAATATACAAGTGTTTGTTTATATATGCAGATTGATATAAGAATGTGTATCGAAAACAAATACTGTATTTCCTATTAAAAATGCCATAAAAACAAAAAAATGGCCCTAATTCAAGAACCCCTTGTGTAATCTTAATGAAATTTGGCACTGCATTTGGTAGGGATTTAAGGTACAATATGTTCCTAAATTGGTTGGTGTATTATGTATCATTTAATCTGTATCTCTGGAACATACATACATACATACATGAGTATTAGTATTGTATAGATATTATTTTTAGCTACAACAATCTGTCACATTTTTAAAATTCCAATTTATTTGTGTTTTTCACTTTGAGATTCCAAGAATGTTTCCAAACAAATGTTAAATAACTTCTTAATAAGGAATTCTTAAAAATTTCATACAATAAAAGAACATCAAGTTGGATACAAAAAAAAATTATAATTGTCTGAAAAAATAAAATTGCATTAACTACATTAATTAAATATAATTACATAAGTTCAAAGTTAGTAAAAGTTATGTATCATTATTTTCTTATCATATGATACCTGGAAATATCAGCCAGGAATCATTTGGAAAAATCATTAGAATAAAGAAAGTTATCAGTCACACTTATAGCGTTATTTGTATACATCATTTATACATTTTTATAGCAATTCTTTGGCCAGTATCCAAACAAACATCTATGTCAGCCAACCATTAGATAGAATTATACACACTGCGTAAACAGAATTACAAAAAGTCAATGGTCTCTAGTTATCTTGATAGCAAAAGCCAGTTTTTACTGTGCCAGAAAATATCAGAAGAATAATTGCAAATAAAGCTCTGTAATATTTGGCAAAAGCTTTTTTAAAACTGGCTGTATCATTTTTAAAGCATTAATAGAACGGTAATCCTCTAAGTGATAATCTCTTCCTTTGTAATAATTATAATGTAAACTTTTGAATTATTTCAGTAGATAGAAAATATTTGACAGCTGTATCACATTGGAAGCATTTTTTGTTTACTCACCAAATGTAAATATTTTATGGTCATTTATGGAATAGAAAACTATTTAAAGACACCAAGAGTAATTAAAATTTTTCACTTAGACCAAACATAATAATAATTAAATGGTATAAGAATCAGCTAGGGAAGAATAAAATACATGTTGGTATAAATTTGAATTGTCAAACAATTTATTCAAGCAAAAACTGAAAGTTTATAATTGGCAAAAAATTTCTTAAATTATTGTAAAGATGCTGCTCTTATTAAATCATAGAATAAAAAGAAAGAAAACAAATCAAAATCTAGTGATTCATTAACAATTATTCAAAACTTGTTTGAGGAACTGAATTGATTAATTGCTAATCAACCTTTTGCAGATTATTTAAAGCCATTACTGAATTGTAAGAAATTTTTGGAGATAATAAAATAATTTACTGATACAATTACTACTAATTAACCTATAGCTGGGAGGAGAAGACATAGATTCCTATCTTTCCCAAGTGTATTTGCATGTAAGTGAATATAACAAATCCAACTGGGATTGGAACTCTGTTCCTAATTCTGAGCTGTTAACTATTGCACCACCTGTACACCCAAGCTTACAGCACCTGGTACTCCGAAGTAGTCACCCATCTAGGTACTGGCCAGGTTTCACATTGCTTAACTTTGGTGATCATATGAAAACTGGTATTTCAATGTGTTATGGTTGTAACCTTGATGAACTGGATATAACTAGAATATAAACTGCTTCAAGGCTTTGTTGTATATACTTTTTGTCCAAATAAAATTCTTTCCCTTTAAGTAGATTTTAATTTTTCAATTTAGTACTGAAGAAATATTTACTTTTGTAAAAAAATAATCTACAATGTACTATTGCAATTTCTGAAAAATGAATTTCAAACATTGAAAATAATTGTTTCCATAAGATAATATTCATTTTATCTGAGATAGCACATTTAAATATGTTGTTTATATACAAATCAAAAGTTAGCTTTTACTACTATTTTCCAGAGCAAGGCTGTCTTTATATGCTAAGTTTATAATACTTGATGCTGTTGACCTACATGCAAAATGACCTTTCCATTATAAATTTAGAGAAATTTCATTATTACCATTATCCTCATACAATGCTGTAAATGATTGTTAAAGTTTCAAACAACAATAACCATTGTTATTGGTTGACTGCTTCTAAAAACGAGAAGAAACATGTTTTTATTGGTCAGTATTCATCAGCCATGACTTATGTATTTGTTTTGATAGACTTACTCATAGTAACAAAGCAGTTTCATATAGAGCTTCTGATTTACTTAATGTGTCAAAGATAATTCACTAGAGCCTACAAACCATGACATGATGGAGGTTAGGTTTAATAACATGAATATGAATGCTGATTGCTTAATTGTGGGTGTTCAAGAGTAGCTATTAATGGATTTCATTTTGACTTCTTGCTGATTACTGAATTTGGTGCAAGACTGTCAGACTGAGTGGGTGGATTTCTAAATAGTTGTTTGGGTGTATAGAATTTTTGGACTTGTAATTGTTGTTATTATTCTGTTTAGTGAATGTTGACGGTTATGAGCAGAATATTTTTGGATTGGAAAAGAAAAACTAATAGGCATATGGAAATGTACTTTGTACTGGGAAAAAGTGACTTTTAAGAAATTGTTGGAAATTTCTATATATCAAGAGAATTAACATTGTAGTAAGTAATAAGGACATTAAGGATTGATTAAATTTTTCCTGTGCTATGATAATTCATGTTTGCCACTATGATTTGTGATATGTCCCAGAAAGGGATATATTTGTTCGAAGTAGCAAAGTGGTTGTTGACTACTGTAACCGGGTAGGACAATCTAGCAGGTAACCGTAATAGACTGGTCTTCATCATAGTGGTAGGCAATAGGCGAAGACAATAGGCGTAGCCAATAGTCATAGTCCATGTACCTTCACATCAGTCTGTATTTATGGCTGACACCAGCCAATCATATTACTGTGAGGGGGAACCCAGGTGTATGCATATTCATTACATCACCTCCTCCTGAGCTAAAATTTCCTGTAAAATTTAGCTTCAATATTTTCTCTTTTTAGGGTCTGGGCTTAATCGATTGATTTTTTTCCTAAGTCTTTTTCACCTCAATCCCCCTTGCAGTGGTGGTGTTTGGCACACTGGTACCTCTGGCCTTGAGATCGGGGATACCTCCATTGGTGAATGTTGACTTACTGGAACGGGAATTTCAAATGCATCATACAGGACTTCCATTGGAATCGCTTCGGTATTTTCTGTGACCTCTGTAGTGTGTCTGGGTCTCAATTGATTCCAATGTCTTTTGCACCAAAATTTTTCCCCTTATATGTCATATATGACCTGTCCAATTCTTTTGTTTATCATTCCTTCTACCCAATATATTTTTCCAGCCCTAAAGTTCCTTATATGCTTATATGCTTTAGTTATCTGGTTTTCTTTTTTTGCAGTTTTCTTTGCCGGACTAGGCAACAGCCTGTCGAACACAGAGCGTATTTTTCTCACAAACATTAACTCTGCTGATAACCCTGTGATAACGGGTTTGACTATATTGCCAAAATTTTTAATACTCTTTCATTCATGTCCATGTTTCTTCAATACTGTTTAAAGGTGTCCAAATTTTTCTGAATGTCCATTCAATCTTGGATGATATACTGGCATTGTCACTTTGATAAACTGTACAGTCTTCCGTTGTTTGCTGACTAAAGTTTTAGGGAGTCCAAAGTGACGTTTATTTTATTTATTTGCATTCGGATGTCTGCACTTAACAATTTCTGGCCACTTAGTGAAACTGTCCACAATGATCAGGTAATAAGATACATTTATAGGCCCTGCATAGTTGATATGTAATCGAGTCCATGGGACATCTGTCTTTGGCCATGGTTGAATCTTTAACGGTGGATCCCTTGCTGCCAGTTGACATCCTCTGCACTGTTTCACCAAATTTTCTATGTCTTGGTCCATCCTTGGCCAATCCTCTCATTAGAGATTTCATTCTCGAAATCCCTGGATGGCCAGTGCGAAATTCTTTCAGAATTTTCTTTTGCAGAGTAACCGGCATTACAACTCTATCTGCGTATAGTAATACCTGTTCGCAGATTGAAAAAGGTGACACGCTAATTCCTTTTTTAGTTTTCTCGTTCAACCAGACTTGCTTTTTCATTTTTTTAATGAAATCATCATTCACTGCTGCTTTTTTCACATCTTCTAGCATAACCGGTAGTTCTCTAATAGTGTTGCATAACAGACCTGATAATTCACTTTCGTCTCTTAGCACTGCTATTACTGTTTCTTCCAGTGGTTCCGTATATCTGGGTATCAATCTTGATAACCCATCAGCGTAACCTAGCTTCTTTGAAGGCACATATTCTATTTTGAAATTATAATTGAATAGAATTACACCCCAATTTTTCGATTTTTTTTTTACCTTTTTTGAACCAAATATTGTTAACAGCAGTTTGTGGTCTGTTTGCAGAATAAATTCTCTTCCGTATAGAAACTTGTTTTTTTTTTTAGATTATTGTGTGACATCTTATTATAAAACACAGATTGTGTGTGTGTGTGTCTGTAACGTTTATATATTCGATGAATTTCAAACATTTTGGCTTTTAACAAAACTTCACAGGACTACAAAAATTACCTTTAACCTTTTGGTGGTTCGGATGGGAATCTGGTTAAATGGGATCTGCACATTTTTTTTTAAACAAAATCAATTTGAAAACACGATTGGACACATCGTGAGAATGAAAGGGGACAATTTCAGTCTCACGAACCCACAAACAAAAGAGCATAGCATGATGAAAAAAATCAATCTTGTCGAAAACAAAAATTTTATCGTCTAATGTTTGAATATTATTATTAAAGAGGAAAGATCAAAGTATAAAAGAAAATAAATTTTTTTTTAATTTTTTAAAATTTGTTACGTCTGAGGAATTTTTAAAAAATATTTTTTTTGAATACAAAAAAGACAGATAATCAATCATTTTTTTGGATTTTGATACTTTGGGAAAGATAATTCCAGTCTTAACATTTAGGGTTGTTTTTTTTTAAGAAACTGGTTCAATTTGTTCAAGGCAGATCAATAAGGCATTGGTTCTATTTGAAATTAATTCAATTGGTTAAAAAAAGTAAATTGTTAATTTAAAAAATGCTGACGTAAGAAAGTGATAGACAAAAAACAACAATATTTAGAAGATGATTTATTAAGGAAAAGGCAGTACTCTTAATAAATTAATAAACCCAAATAAACTTAATACTTTTTGAATTAGAAACTGGAAAATATATTCAAATCAGAATTCTAATTATGAATCATCAAATATAAAATATGCAATTTTTTTTGAGGTTATTGATAATTCCAAAAATCAATAAATTCTAAAAGTTTTCAGAGAAAGGAAAATTTTATTATTTTTTTTTGATTTCAACAAAACTTCATTTTTTTTTTCTGTTCTCAATTGAACAAGGGAAAATTTTTTTTCAAAGGGTGTGTAATTTTTTTTATTAAATGGAAAAACAAGTGATTATCTCACCTATCCCGAGATGGGGGAAAATGCCTCCCAAAATAGGATAGCAAGGTGAACAAAGGCGGGAATGCTTTTTTTTTTTTTTTTTTAAGTTCTGGAAAAGGAACGGTTGTTAACATGTTGGGCCTAGTTTGTGCACAGATAAAAAAAAAAACTGTGGATTTTTTTTAAGTGTGTGTAGTGTTTTTGTCTTTTTTTTTTTTTTACCCTAGACTTTTTGTTCAGGTGAATTACCTGGAGAAAGTTCAGTCATCTCAGATTTTGGGATCAGGCATTGCGGGTGGCCAAAAATTATTTACCTGCAGCCAAAAGGGACGAAGAATGATATTTGATAAAAAGTAAGATATCCCTGTCTGCCGAAAGGTTCATATGGAATAAATGAGTCAACTTCATGGATCGAAATTTTTAGTCGACTGAACTCAAACGATTAGTTTGTCCGTGATTCAGAGAAAACAGCGGAAAAATAATTTAAATTTGTTAGATTAGTGACATTTCAGGAGCTGAAAAAACGACTTTTCCAAATGATTAGTTTTAAATAACTAATGGTTTGGTCTTTTGCTTTTTTGTAACTCTTTGTGGTCCAAATGGACATTTTCGTTTTTTATTGACCAGTTAATTTAAGGATTTAGGAAAATTCTGAGGTTATTTGACCAATTCATGGAATTACTGTATTATTTCCATAAATCATAAATTGTAAACAATGTTTTGTTTTGAATTTGGGTTTGACCAATGGAAAAAAAAAAAAAATTATTACTTTTCCTTGTCGTCAACCTTAAACAATAATTTTATCACCTAAATTTTATTTTCAGTCTTTTTTTTTTTTTTGATCTTTTTTCTTTTTACATCCCCCAAATAGTGGCTCTAGAACATTTGCTAAACTCTTTTTCAATTTGACTGTAACTTTGTTCCACGGGCAGTAACGTTCTTGAGGCATGTGCTATTGGCTTCAGAGATCTGTCCTCGAATTTATGAAGCAATACCGAACCTAGTATCTCATTACTGCCATCTGCTGCTACAATGATTTTCCTCTTCGGGTTGAAATGCGCTAACGAAAAAAATAAAAAAATAAAAACTGTCTAAATAACGATAGGACTGCTAATAGACAGTTTTTATTTTTTTAAAAGCCTGTTTGCATTCTTTCGACCATGTCCACTTTGCACCCTTTTT